GATCGGGTTGTCCTTACAGAATATCTATAATTAGATTGGGCTTGGCATTTGGATTGCTGCACTGAGTAGAAAACAAGCATAGACAGAACTAGAGGAACAAAAGCTATGAACAGAATGAGGACTGAAAGCAGGGCAATTTGAACTAGCAACCTATCCACACTTTATGAGTAGCTGGTTGAGTTTTGTACAAATGAGGGGTGGTACTTAGAGTTAACTAAACATTTTTTTTCTAGTCCAACTAAGCAACCTCAATGAAAGGGAGTAAGGTATTCTGATACAGTAGGGGCATGATGCTATAAAGCTACAAACTGAATTTTTTAAAAATAACTTTGTCGAGGTACTATTTTATATATATATATAAATAAAACTGCATCTATATAAAGTGTTTAAGTCAATGAATTTTGAAAGATACATATACTCATGAAATTATGACCACAATTAAGATATGTAACACTTCCACCAGTCTCAAAAGTTGCCTTGTGACCTTTGCAGTCCATTATCCACCTATCTTTGCCCCTCAGGGAACCACTGACCTGTTTCTGTCATGGATTAGTTTACATTTTCTAAGATTACATATAAATGAAAATATATGATATGTACTCTTGTTGCTCTGGCTTGTTGCATGCATTCAAAATTATTTTGAGATTCATTCCTGCCCATGTGTATTTATAGATTTTTTGTTTTATTACTGATTAGTATATTTTTCTATTGTATTAGTGATGGACATTGAGGTATTCCCATGTATGGGATAAATCCCTATCAGATATATGATTTGCAAATATTTGCTCCCATTCTGTGAGTTCTTTCCATTTTCCGATACTGCCTTTTGGTGCACAAATTAAAAAAATTTTTTAATGTACTTTTCTTTTGTTGCTTGTACTTTTGGCATCGTAGCTAAGAATCTGCTACCAGATCCATTCTCATGGAATTTACCTACATTTTGTTCTAAGAGTTTTATGAATTTAGCTCATATTTAGGTGTTGATCTATTTTGTGTTAATTTTTGTATATGGTGTGAGACAATTTCACTTTTTGTATGTGGAAATTGAGTTGTTCCAGAACCATCTGTTGAAGAGATTACTTTTTTCATTAAAATTAGAATTTAATTTTTTAGAACAGTTCTAGATTACAGCAAAGAAGAGGGGAAGATAAAGAACTTTCCCATTTACGTCCTGTCCCCAGTCTCTCCCACTATCAACATTCTCCATAGAGTAGTACATTTGTTACAAAATGGTGAGCCTACATTAACATATCAGAATCATCCAAAGTTCAGAGTTTACATTGTACTTCACACTTGGCTTTGTACATCCTATGGGATTGGACAATTGTATGACGACAGGTATCACACAGAATATTTTCACTGCCTTAAAATTCCTCTGCTCACCTATTCACGCCTTCTTACCCTACCAAAATTTGACAACCACTGATCTTTTACTGTCCATAGTTTTGGTTTTTCCACAATGTCACATCCCTGGGATTGTTTAGTATATAGCCTTTTCAGACTTACTTCTTTCACTTAGTTGTATGCATTTCAAAGTGTCTCCATGCCTTCCAATGACTTGATCTCTCATTTATTTTTAGTGTTGAATATACTCCATTGTACATACCACTCTTCACTGAGGAACATCTATGTTGCTTCCAAAGTTTGGCAGTATTAATAAAGCTACTTTGAACATCCATGCACAGTATTTTGAACATAAGTCTTTGACATAAATCTTCAAATTTTGGGGTTAATATCAAGGAGTGCAACTACTATATTGTGTGTGTGTTGAGTTTTAGTTTTTGTAGGAAACTGCCCAACTGTCTTCCAAAGTGGCAGTACAATTTTACATGCCCACCAGCAGTGAATGAGCATTCCTGTTGCTCTACATCCTTACCAGCATTTTTGTGTTGTCAGTCAGTGTTTCAAATGTTGGCCATTTTAATGGGTATGTAGTCATATCTCATTGCTTCAATTTGTAATTCCTTAGTGACATGAGATAGAGCATTTATTCATTAAAAAAAAGAGTATTCCTTTCTCATTGAGTGGACATGATAACCTTGTCAAAAATCAACTGGCCAAAAGACATATGAGCTTATTTGTAGCCTCTCCATTCTATTGCACTGGTCTGTATGTCTATCTTTAGGCACACTGTTTTGATTACTGTAACTTGCAGTGAGTTTTGAAATTTGCAAATGTTAGTCCCCAATTTGCCTTTCCTTTTCAGGACTGTTTGGCTATTGGGACCCCTTGCAATGTCATGTAAATTTAATAACTGGCTTTTCCATTTCTGCAAAAATAAATTAAATTGAAAACTATTAGAAATTTGATAGGGATTACATTGACTCTGTAGATCACTTTGGGAAGTATTGACTTCTTAACAACATTTTCTTTCTACCCATGAACACAGGATGATTTTCCATTTATTTAGATATTCTTTAATTTCTTTCAGCCATGTTTTTCAGTTTTCTGGGGAAAATTCATTCCTAGGTATTTTCTTTTTTCAGATTCTTTGTGAATGAAATTGCCCTCTTAATTTCCTTTCTAGAATGTTAATTGATGGTTTATAGAAACACAACTGACTTGTATATTGATCTTGTGCTCTACAATGTTGCTGATTGTCTTTCTATATGCTCTGCAAATAGTTCTACTTTTTTGTCTCATTTTTCTTTTTTTTTTTTCTTTTTTTAATAGAGGCATGTTTTATTTATTTATTTATTTATTTGTTTTGTTTGTTTGTTTATACATGCACTGGGTACAGTCAGAAGCACGGGAGGGCGAGAGCAGAGCAGGCAGAAGGACCGAAGTACACTGCTGAGGGGAGCAGTGGGCGGCAGGAGAGGTCTGCGCGCCATGTGGAACCCTCCTCCGGTGGCCGGGGAGCAGCCAGGGATCGAACCGGCGCCGCAGAGGCTGCGGGCAGCTTCGCAACCCAGCGCTCAACCGCTGCGCCACGGGGGAGGCCCTGTCTCATTTTTCTTGCTAGACTACCCAGTACTATTCTGACTAGCAGTATGAAAGGAAGCATCCTGTCTTGTCCTGATCTTAGGGGAAAACTTTCAGTCTTTCTCTACTAGATTAGGCATGGGTTTCATAAATGCCCTTTATGCTGTTGTTTCAGTGTTGTTCATTGAAAACTTTTTCCCCACTGACTTGCCTTGGCACCTTTCCAGAACATTTGAACATACGTGGATCTATTTATGGACTATCCTTTCGCTATACCTCATCTTGATTATTGTAGCATTCAGTCTTAAAATCAAAAAGTATTAAGTCTTCCAATTTTGTTCTTCCTATTTTACTTTCTTTTAAAGATTTATTTATTTATTGTTTCTGCATAGAAGAACTGAGGTATAGGCCAGAGATGCAGGGAATGAGAGGCTTCACCAGAGACAGAGTGGGGAGCAGAACAGGCAGATCTACTGAAATACACTGCTAAGGGGAGCAGTGGGCAAAACAGGAGAGGTCTGCTGTGCCATGTGTGTTAGCTCCCTGGCTGGTGATCAAACTCAAGCCATTGTGGTGATAGCACAGAGACTTAACCCCTAGGCCAGAAGGGAGACCCCCTGCCACACTGACTTTCTTCTAAGTCACTTTTGCATCTCCACACAAATTTAAAAATCAGCCTGTCAACTTTTGTGATTTGTTGGAATTTTGATTAGGATTTTTAGAGGTCTATGGATCATTTTGGAGAGAACTGACATCTTAATAATACTGAGTCAATCCCTGAGCAGGTTATCTCCTTTTTATTTTGGTATTGTTTTCTTTCTTTCAGCAATGTCTTACAGGCTTAGATGTACTGACTTTGTACATATCTTGTTGAATTTGTATTTATGTAATTGAAATGAATTTTTCATTAATTTATTCAAGAATTTAAAATTTCATTTTCTCATTGCTAGTTTACAGAAATGTTTTTGTAGATGGCCCCTGTCTTCTGTGACCTTGTGAAACTCATACTTCAGTAGCATTTTATAGATTGTTTAGGACTCTCTTGATCGTGTCATCTGTAAAAGGTCTTATTTCTTCTTTTCTAATTGTTACGCTTTTTCCTTTTCTTGCTACTGAACAAAGTACAATATTGAATAGAATTGGTCAGTGGACATTCTTGCCTTGCTCACACCACTAAGAAGAAAAGTATTTGATCTTTAAGTATTTTATATTTAACTGTGGGTTTATCAGAAATACCCTAGATCAAGTTGATGACGTGCATTTCTAGTCCAAGTTTGATGAGGGTTTTTTTTTTTATCATGAACAGTGTATTAATTTTATGCTTTTATTGGTATGGGCATTTTTTTTTAAGATTTTTTTATTCATACAAGAACTGGGGTATAGGCCAGAGGCACGGGAGGGTGAGACGACTCACCAGAGACAGAGCGGGGAGCAGAACAGGCAGAAAGACCAAAGACACTGCTGAGGGGAGCTGTGGGCGAGACAGGAGAGGTCTGCCATGCCATGTGGGTATCTCTCTGGCTGGCCGGGAATCGAACCGTGCTGCAAAGGCTGTAGACAGCCTCACAAAGCTGCACTCAACCCACCACGCCACCGGGGAGGCCTGGGCAAATGGTTTTTATTGAAGTAGTGAACTACATTGTGTGAATTTTTCATGTTACACCAACATTGCATTCCTGGGATAAATCTCACTTCATCATGATGGTGCATTGTTCTTTTTATATATCCTTAGGTTTAGCTACTAGTATTTGTTAAGGATTTTTGTTGTTGATTTTTGTTTCAAGATTCATGAGTGGTCTTTAGTTAACTTAGTGTCTGTCTAGTTTTAGTATCAGAGTAATATTCATCTCATAAAAAGAATTAGTAAGTATTCCTTTCCCCTCTAAGTGTTTTTGTGGGATGGCTAGTATTTCTTACTTACATGATTGTTAGAATTTACTGGTGAAGAATCTGGACCTGGAGTTTTGTGAAGTTTTTTTACTGTGCTGTTCAGACTTTAAATTTTGAAGCTGTTACTTCCAATTGCTGAGAAGCTGTAGGAAAGCCCATCAGCTACTGATGTTATAAATACTAAGTAGAAGTGAAAATAATTACTAGAAATTTAGATGTGAGGAAAAAAATGACTGTTTATCAAGTTGCTAGGAATAGAATTTTATCTTTATTTCAAATAGTGCATGACACCTGGTAGGAAAAAATGAACTCACGTTTCCACCCCCATAAGTAGCATGATCTCTGATTTCTTGGTTTTTACTACCCCTTCCCATACACATTTATTTCACCAGATGTTATCTTCTTTAAGCTGGTACCATTTCTTGTTTTTGGAGTCCTAGCACTCAGCTCAGTGCAAGATAAACCACTGGCATTCAAATTTTTGTCAGGGTACAGACAGTGATAAACGCTATTGCTCATGGTTCTGCACTGACCTTAGGGCAACAGACAAAATATTTGGGTTTGGAGTGACTTCTTAAAACCAGGGAGAAGAGATGCCCCATAGGTTACCATATTTTTCTCTCAGTCGACTAAACCCAAGGAGATTGAAATAGCGTTATGTTTATGGAAAATTTTAACGCACAGTAACTTTTACAAGATTTGGTTAGTTCATGAGACTCAATACATGTTTATCTTTCAGGATGTTAAAACAGAAGACACAAACTCTAGAATCACTCATTCTTTCTAAGGATGGAATGGCGACATGATAGAAAGGCAAGTGTGATGAACTTGGGAGTTATCAGACCTGGATTTGAGGATTTGGGTTTACTCATGTAAGCATCAACTAAATGTGAAAACAGTTTACACAGCATAGAGAAGTATAAAAGGGTGAGTTAACGTTAACTGAGCCCAGAGAAAAGAGGATTGTAGGTGATGCCAGTAGACAGACACAATAATTCAGTTTCACTCTGTACTGAGAATAAATGCCACAAAGCAGCTTTAGCAACAGGTAACTAACTCAAGTGTTTCATTGTGTTTTACCCACTTTCTCTCTTTTACTTATCTATTCTTACCCCTTCTCCACTCCTGCCACTCTAACAGGACCCAACTCACACCTGTCCTTTCAAAATAAGGCCCACCTTCAAATTTCAGTTCCTTTCAGAAAATACACAGATAATACACAAATGCACAATTCTATAAAGTAAAATTTTCAGAGGATTTTGATTTTTAATCTAAAGGAATGGATTTTTAGGGCAATTTTAGTTACTGTGTGTCAGACTGACTGGGGGTTAGAGACCTATCAGACTTCCCAAAATAAATGGCCATTGTGGGGCCAGACCATCTTCTAAAATTATTTTTTTTTCACTTTAAAGAAGTTTTTTGCAGTACCAATGAGTTCAAATAAACTGTCTCATGCACTTTTTTGGTGTAGATTTTAAATCACAAGCTTGATCTGTTACCCTGAAATACAGTTCTTAAGGAAGATTAGTTACAGATACTTGTCAGTACTTTCAAATGACCAAAAAAATTACATGATAGTAAGACTGAATGAATTTTTTATGCATGAGATAACATTTCTTTCATCACCAGAAGGAATTACTCCAATTCATGCAATAAATGACCTAAAATTTTAAAAGCCGCCCTACTTTTCCTAGTTGAGATTTCATGCCTATTTTAAGTCAAGACATCAGTGTGTCTTGACTCACATCCTGAGTGCACCTTGCCCTGCCTGGGAAGTGGTGAGGACACACAAGGGTTTTCTAGGACTCAGCTGGGCCCCTGAGTACCAAAGTATTATCTTAATCCTTTCATCTCAGTGTGAAGGTTGCCAGGAAATTGGTGTCAGAAGTGATGGCCTTAGTGACCTATAAGAGAATAGGACATTATAGAGTATTTAGGACTTTGATAGTGATCTAAAAGAGGTGAACAGGAGGGAAATTCTAACGTATCTTGACATAAAGTCAGTAGAAATCACCATCGGGTTCCTGTAACTAGAAATCATGAGGGTAAAACAGAAGAGGTTTGCCTATGATGGGGATGCTCCTCACAGGTTTTGTGAATGTGTTTTATAGAACCACATCAGATAGATAGTACCATGACATTTTACATATTTTACATACAATCTGAATACAAATTCTTAAAATTTATAATAGAACATTAAAATAATCTTCTAATAAAATCAGCCTTAAGTATAAGGAATCTAAATTTCAGTATCTTGTATGCTTCTAAATAAATATCTTCAATCTATAATCCTTGAAAATATTAGTTTATCATGACATGATAGAGACAAATCAAACAGTATTATAAGCGAAAACAAAATATCAATTTAAAAATAAACAAGCCTAAAAACACACTGAGCTGAAATTATAGAAAATCAAATAAGTACATAGTAATTAAATATCTACAATTGGGGTAACCAAATGCATGCTCAAAAACACACTTTCAACTTATAGAAAAAGCCCTTTAAAATTTATATAATCTAAATAAATAAGCAGAAACACAAAGGGAAGTACTGTACCAGCCAGTAACACCTAGAAAGTGAAATTTCCCTTTTCATTTCTAATGATCATGGCAGAGAAACATGATATAATCACTCGCTAAAAAACTATAATTCATGTGTTTGGTTTATTTTTTAAATGTTGTTTATGATATAAAAAGCCAAAGCAAGGCTTTCTAAAATGTTAGACCACAGTATCTGAGAAAAGAAAATGCCACCTAATTGAGGAATTTAAACAAAAATCAGACTTTTGCTTATTTAAAATATGATTGAATTTTTGCTTAATGACCCCTTAATAGGTCTAAATCAAGCCCATGATATGAATGTACATTCAAACATCTGAATGCATGATCTGTTAATACTGAATTATACATATGGTGACTTATTTTTAGGTCCCAAAGTATTAATTATTTTACAAAAGACCAGAATTAAAACATCTAGAGCAGGAACCTTCTTTATCTTTGTATTCTGGTTTCTCAGAATATAATAGGTACTCTGTAAGTATTTGCTGAATTGAGCCCAGCATTCATCATATTTCAGGAAGCAGTGAATCCATGATGAACCTGGCTGCCTGGGACTTGGAGGGAGTTCTTGAATTTAACCTCCAGGTCTATGATTAATTTCTGGCCAATCAAGTTAATTGTGACAGATCTGTTAAGAGTTTCTCATTTAGGGCCAAGATTTACATAATTCATCTATCTGTTCCACAGTTAAGTCATCTTAAAAGATTTGTGCCCGCACATTCATAGTCAAGTTAAAAGAATAAAGATACTCTTCCTTATGCTGGGTTGGGTATTTGCTTATGATGACAGCCTGAAACATAAACACAAGCACACACACATACATACACAACCATTTCACGAATGGGGAATAGAATCTGGAAATAATGAACAAAGCCTAAATTACATAGCTCCCACAGTTAACTAAAAAACAACAGTGAATCTTAAGGTAACTCCTTTTGATGATACACAAGCTTATTGCCTGAGGATGGAAGCAATGTCTTTGGAAGAATAAATGTAAACCAAACTGTCCTTTTACCATTAGATTGGCAAGGTAGCTAAAAATGGTGTGGTTCCAACACTGCCCTTTTTAATTTTGCTCAGTGTAGCTCATTACACGAGGAAGCAGTGGAGGAGATAAGATAGACATGCTCTCCAAAGACCATTCCTTCCATCCGCAATACTCAGATGAACATTAGCTTCAGTGTGTGAATTATTCTAAGAGTCCTTCGGATTGCCATTTAAAGTTGCTATTTCTGGTGTCAGTGGTTCCTCACTGTGGGGAGGATGTTACAGAACTCCTGAAATAAAAGTTTAGAAAGTTTCATTCTTTGATTCTCACTGCCAGCATGCCTGTCCCACTTGGATGCTGCTAGGAGAGGTAGATCCAGTGTTTAAGTTCTGCCATTCCCTGCAGTAGTTTAGTGTAATAGAAGTCCATGTTGTCTGCAAAGTCTGTACAAACAGGTGACTCCATGTCACCAAAAGTGCAGTATAATGCAGTTCCTCCAATGCTCAGGAAAACTGTTGCTATGCACAGCAAGAGCAGTAAAATACAGGAGCCACCTCCAACTTCATCTGTAAATGTAAGAACAGAGTAAGGTTAAACCGACACAAAATGGAAATCTTAGCATCTGCTGGCTTCTCACTGATGAAGATTAATATATGTTTCTAATATTAGTCTTCAAAGAATAGGAGTCATTGACAGAAACTAGTGCACCTAAGGACTCTGTAAGGACCTTCCTATTCATTACCACAAAGAGATGTACTTGTGATTGCTAAAATTAAAACCAGCTCATTTATAAAATGAACACAGTCATATGCATTAAAAAGAGGGTGGGGGGAATGATACTTTTCTCTGTGTTTACAGTATTGTTTTAGAGTACAAATCATAACCTCACTATTATAGTTATCTTTGATGTGAACATCATGGGACACCTTAAAGCAAAATCAATTTGCTATTAAATAATAAAAAATGTCTTTGGGTGCAATCTTTCTTGCATCTTAATACTAATTTTATTTTTAGTGGATCAGTGCACTATTAACTAGTACAGAGATTTCTTTTTCATTTTACTGAAATCTGGTAGGTTTTTAAACTTTTAAAAAATTTTTTATTTATTTATTTTAAAGATTTATTTATTTTATGTGTACAAGAGCTGGAGTATAGGCCAGAGGTGCAGCGGCAGGGGAGGGGGGGGGAGGGGAAGAGGGGATTCACCAGAGACAGAGTGGGGAACACAACAGGCAGACTGACTCAAGTACACTGCTGAAGAGAGCAGCGGGCGGGTCAGGAGAGGTCTGCAGTGCCATGTGGGTAGCTCCCTGGTTGGCGGGGGATCAAACTCATGCTGCAGAGGCTGTGGACAGCTTCATAGGTTGTGTCTTAACCACTTGCACCACCAGGGAGGCCCCCTTAACTTTTTTTTTTTAATTAAAGAAACTTTTTATTGAGGTAATGTTGGTTTACTGGTAGAGCTGTTTTTAATAATAATGTCCATACCAGTCTTTCTACACTGAGTGAAATAACTATTCTTTGGTTGAAAGTCTTAAGGATCATTCATAATAAAAGAAAAAAATATTTGGAAAAGACAAAAAGTTTTATGATTAGCAAAAGGGATTGCCAAAATCTTCTTGTTAAAAAGTTAAAATTATTGTCCAAACTGGGAGACATGAGTGAAAGAGTGTTAACTGAATGCAATGCACAAACAGCAAGTGTGAAGCAGGTCTGCCTAAGACAACTGGGACACACAGCCCTATTGTTTATCCCAGAAAATCCATTTTTAGGATTAGACTACAGAGATTAGACATACAATATCACAGACACAAGCATGTTCATTGCATCAAAGTTCGCTATAGCAAAAATTTGTCAAAAACTTAGTGATTCCAGTTATAATGAAGTATATAGTCAAATTATGGGATATTCATATAGTGGAGTACTACAGAATTTTTTAACACTATGAAACTAATTTAACATGTTCTCTCACAGATGACCAAGATTAATGGTTAAATTAAAAAGTGATACAACAGTATATAAAGGATCTGTTATATTTTAAAAAAGAGATGTATGTCAATATGTATAACTGCAAATACACATACATAAATACATGTGCCATAAAGGATGATGGAAAATTTAATCAATACTTGGGGGTAAGGGGTAGGGAGGACTGAGGACTCACACATTTTAATTTCATTATTATTTGAGTATTTTTCATTACAAGCAATTATTAGCATTATTAGCACTTTATGAAAAAAGCAAACTTTATATGAACTCCAATAAAAACTAATAGATCTATTTTAAAGACTTTATAGTAATATGTGAATGTATTCTCCCCATAAAAATTTAAGCACACAAGTATCCAAGTGTCTAATGGACTCTCCACTTTCCTTCTACCCAAACATGTTCCTTTCCCATCCCAAAAGGAAACACTACTAAATTTGCTTTGTAACCTTCCACATCAAACATGTTTCAGGTTTTATGTAAATAGGATCATGTAATTAAACTGCTCCGTGATTTACATTTATAATGGCTTCTACTTAGGCATGCAAATATGTTTTGTCTTGGTCATTTATTTGAGCAAACCAAGTGCTCAGACATAATTTAAGAGCTGATGATAATTTGCTTCTTTGAATTTCCTTATAGAAGATAAGGCAACTAAGTCCAATGGTTCTTTTACAAATCCTATTACCAAACATTTTATCATACATCACTTCATTCTTTCAGCAAACACCAAGAGTCAACTCCACACTACACACAGTGTTGAACAGTTTACCTTGATCCAAGTTATCGTCTATTTCTTGGAATCGCACTCTTCGCTTAGATGGTTTCTGTTGCATCTGGGCAGAATGATCCCCTACAGTATCATTCCTCTTCTTCAATATAGATACCAATCCTTCAGCAGGAACAACCTGTCAAAGATAAGAACCATTTAATATGTTATGATGGACTTAATGATATTTTACATTGCAGTAAAAAGGTTAATTCAGTATAACTTTCTACTGTTCAACCAATTCCTACAGAAAAAATTCACAACCATCAAAATTGAACAGACTTAAACTCACTTCTTTGTAGATGACTGACAAAGACACAAGTCTAAAATTCTATTTTCCTAAAGCTCCCAGTTGCTGGCAGTTTGATACAGGGAGGCACAGCATCCTCCCCGTATCAGACCTCCCTTAACCTCCTTGCTTTGTAGCCCTGCTTCCTTGTGAGGTCATCTGTAAAATGATACTCAGTCCCTCTTTGCTTGATCATTAGTGCTGGGTTTTGATTTATATTAGGGGCTAATATTCCGTAATTTTTATTCATTCAGCAATTTTTTTGTATGCTGAGTAAACAGTTTTATTTATTTTTTTCCCAAACATCAAAGCAATTGTCATCACGGGGAATAGCTATGCTCCACATGAGTATAGAAATAATACCTTGCCTTTGTGTAGCTCCTTCCAATCCCATTATAGGCCAAAGTTGCTCAGAGTACCAGTCATCAGCAATTTTAAAGAAATGAACGTTATGAAATAAGATATATTTATACCAACTTTTAAAATAAAAATGAATGTTGCCCCCTACCCTGTTCCTAAGAAACTATGAACTTACTAAATAATGATCTACGGTTGAAAATATTTTAGGGTCTTCTCTTCTAGAATATCTTTCAGAGCCAGTTTACTAGTGACACATTATTCTATTGGATATAGAAGTCAGCAAAGTACGGTTGGTAGAACAAAGGCACGATGCCCTAAAAATTTTAATTTTGTAAATAAAATTTAGTTGGAACATAGCCAAGAACATTAATCTACATATTGTGTATGGCTGCTCTGTGGCTATAATGGCAGAATTGAGCAGTTGCAACAAACTAGACAGTCTAAAGGTTTATACTGTTTTGGCTCTTCATAGAAAGTCTGCTGTCTAATGTCTCTTCAGCCCCCCTTCTTTACCCCTTTCCATGCTGTGACACCTCTCTCCTGACTTGACCCCATCCCCATTGTAGGAATTAAAGACAAAAATTAAGAAACTTGCCATTTAGTTGTTAAAAGACTCCAGGTGTAAAGAAAAAGAGTAGAGAGTCAGACTGGGAAGCAGATGGCCTTACCAAAGGTCCCCCTCCAAGCATTAGGCTGATTCACAGAAGTTAACTTGTGAGTTACCTCTTGCTCCAAGCTATAGGTGATGACATAGGTAGCATTGTGGACATAACACTGTGGATGTCAGTGACCTGCTGATATCAGCTCACTGTATGCTGAGGGCTGAGCATAATGTCTTTTATCTGATCAATGGCAGAAAATACTTAATATGATTTCCAGTTCCAGCCAGCCATCTCTGATAATGTGCTATCCATAAATATGACAGATTCTATTAGTTCCTTTTATAATGCAAGGCTTTTAGGGTCAAATAATTCAGGATAGTTTTCTACTGGGCTTCCCTGAACATGGATCTATAGAAACCATTATCTAAAAAAAAAAAAAAAAAAATCAATGTTAGCAATTTGTCCTATTTTTTTTTTTAAAGATTTTATTTTATTTATATGAGAGCTGGGGTACAGGCCAGAGGCATGGGAGGGTGAAAGAATTCACCAGAGACAGAGTGGGGAGCAGAACAGGCAGATGGACTGAAAGCACTGCTGAGAGGAGCAGCAGGTGAGATAGGAGAGGTCTGCCGCGCCATGTAGGTATCTCCCCGGCCAGCTAGGAATCGAACCTGTGCTGCAGAGGCTGTAGACAGCCTCACAGTGCTGCTCTCAACCTGCTGTGCCACCGGGGAAGCCCTGCAATTTGCTCTTTTTATAGGAAAGATGTATGTTAGATGATATCCTTCTGAGAAAACTAAAATACTTTAGTGACATTAAAATGTAAGTGCAAATATGCAAAGGAATAACCTTTTAAATCTTTCTTTAGAAAGCAAGATTAAAGAGCTCCTTCATAATAAAGAAAAATGACTTCACAGGCACCTTACTGAAACTGAGAGGGAAAGAAATCCTAATTAGTTTCTAAAGAGCATAGATGGAAAATGAAAATCAACTTTAGTGAGCACATTATTAGTTAAGATATATAATTGATATTTTTTATTTTCAGTAACTGTAAAAAACCAGGGTTTTTCATGGACTTCTTCATTACCTACTTTCTCCATAAAGCCATATATTTACTGACAATGAATAAAAATGAATATAGTCATTTTCAAGCTGCTTTAATTTCTTAATTAAAAAAGTCTTATTAAGAATAGTTCCTTACTTATACCATGGAATATTACTCAGCATTCAAAAAAGATAAACACATGCAATTTGCAGCAACATGGATGGCACTGGAAGGGATCATGCTCAGCGAAATAAGCCAAAAAGAAAAAGAAAAATACCGGATGGTCTCACTCATAGCAGGAATCTAGAAAACTTAAATAAGGGACCAGGAAAATGAATATAAGAAAGTGAAAATCAAAATCAACAAAAAAACTATGAACCAGAGACACTTTTTGGGGGGTGGGGGGGGCGGGAGGGGAAGGATTGGGGTCAGAATGGGGCGTTTGCAATTGTATGGGGGAATATAAAAATAAAATTTAATATTTAAAAAAAAAAAAAAAAAAGAATAGTTCCTTACTAACTCTCCTGCACTGCTGGGTGGGAGTGCAAACTGGTCCAACCACTATGGAAAACTGTGTGGAGATTCCTCAACCTGTTAAAGATGGAGCTTCCATATGATCCAGCAATTCCACTCCTAGGTATTTACCCAAAGGACACAGAAACATTAATTCAAAAGGGCACCTGCACCCCTATGTTTATAGCAGCACTATTTACAATAGCTAAGCTATGGAAACAACCCAAATGCCCAAAAATAGATGGCTGGATCAAGAAGATGTGGTACATATACACCATGGAATATTACTCAGCAATCAAAAAACATTAAATTCATGTAATTTGCAGCAACATGATGGAGCTGGAAGGGATCATGCTCAGCAAAATAAGCCAGAAAGAAAAGGAAAAATACCAGATGGTCTCACTCATAGCAGGAATTTAGAAAATCTAAATAAGGGACCAGGAAAAAGACTGTAATGAAGTAAAAATCAAAATAGCCGGCTGCCAGCGAGGGTCCCACATGGCGCGACAGACCTCTCCTGCCACGCCCGCTGCTCCCCTCAGCAGTGTATTTCATCAGTTTACCTGTTCTGTTCCCCACTCTGGCTCTGGTAAATTCTCTCACCCTTTCGTGCTTCTGACTGTACCCAGTGCATGTATAAATAAATAAATCTTTAAAAAAAAAATTGAAATTCATTAAAGAAAAAAAAGTCAGAGAAAGACAGACATTGTATGATTTCACTCATTTCAAAGATAAAGAAACAAAGTAAATTAACAAACCAAAACAAACTCTTAGATCCTGAGAACAGATTGGTGGTTACCAGAGAGGAAGGAGGGAGTGGGTGAAATGGATAAAGGGGGGTCAACTTTGTTGACGGGCGGAAACTACACTCTTGGAGATGACTATGATGCTGTGTATAAGGGTGCTGACTTACATGCTTTGCATCTGAAACTTCTGTAGTGTTTTTTTATTATTTTTTAAAGATTTATTTATTTATGCATACAAGAGCTGGGGTACAGGCTAGAGGTGTGGGGGGGGAGGTGGTGAGAGGATTCACCAGAGACAGAGTGGGGAACAGAACAGGCAGACCGACCATAGTACACAGCTGAAGGGAGCAGCGGGTGAGTCAGGAGAGGTCTGCTGTGCAATGTGGGTTGCTCTCTGGGCGGCTGGGAGATCGAACTTGTGCTGCAGTGGCTGCAGACAGCTTCATAGGTTGTGTCTTAACATCTTGCGGCACCAGGGAGACCCGAAACTTTTGTAGTCTTTTAAAACAATGTTATCACAATAAAAATTTATTAAAAACAAAACACAGACTAGTTCTGAGGATGAGTTCCAGAGGTGCATTACTGATAACTGAGTATCTTTGTGATATGAATTCCGAAACAGAAATTCAAGAAGCAGAGCCAAATTATAACTAAAATGCCACTGCAAATACAAATAAATGGTTGTAGAAAGACTGGGAGAAACTCCAGAGTCATCTGAAATACATAATGTGCTTCTGAGACTAGCAGCCAGTCCTAGCACAACAGCTATCAGACCCCTAACCTTTGCTCCTGCTTGGCCTAATCTGGGTGTTTGGCTCTGAAAGTCACAGTTCAGGGATACACACCTTTCCAAGGGGCCTGCCTCATTTACCATGAGGCACGTTTTAAAAGAGGGCAGGCGTAGAGTACAAGAAATTACAGTAATGTGGGATGGGTCAACATTTTGTTTTGACACCCTCCACCTACCATTAATTCTTGGCTGAAAATCTAATCACACCCTCTAATTTACCTTTTCTCTTTCATCAAAACCCTTTTGGGGCCTCCCTGGTGGTGCAGGGGTTAAAGACAGTGCTATCAAGCTATTGTCAGCCACTGCAGCATGAATTGGATCCCTGGCAGGCCAGGGAGCTACCCACATGGTGCAGCAGACCTCCCCTGTCTTGCTCGTTGCTCCCCTCAGCAGTGTATTTCAGTAGATCTGTCTGTTCCACTCTGTATCTGGTGAATTCTCTTAGGCCCCCACACCTCTGGCTTATACCCCACTTCTTGTATGCATAAATAAACAAATCTTTAAAAAACAACAACAAAAACCCTTTTGTTTTCGGCAGGGCCTATCCCAGTGTCTGAAGTGAGAGTGTCTTCTTTTCTTTTCAGTCTTGTTCATCTTCTCCAGGTTACTCTGTTTCTAGCTGTCCTCTAAATCTACAGTCTGGAGATGGAGAACAAGGTATGTAGGACCTGCCTTAGGTATAGAGAATGCAAATCAAGGAGAAAATCTCAAAAGAGAAGGGGGTGTGGTCCTTTCAGTTGTGGCAAGGCTTGTGGGCAGAGATCTTAGAACCGACCGCTAGTATAGACATTCCC